GGCTGTGGGTTATAAATAGACATTTAGGAGCCATCAGCAGGAAATTGGGTGCAAGGAGAGGACTTACCCCAGGAGATAGCAGGGAGAGAGAGTGGCACACAAAGGAGAGAAGGCAAGAGGGTGAAAACACCGGTAGATGTGAGGACTCGCTCGGGGCCCCAGCTCCTCCAGAGGGCGGCTCTGGGCTTGGTCGCACTGACATCCAGTGCACTGGGGGGAACATCTGGGCATGCTGCTGTCTGCTGTGTGTCCGCCGTTTGTCTGCTGAGGTCATGGTGAGCCTCTGGCTCCCCGCCCAGCCTGGAATTGGCCCTGAGTGTCCATCTGCTTGGCTGGCCCATGAGCCCCTGCCCTGCCCTGCTTCTCCCTCTCCCAAGGGCTATTCCTCTCTATGAAGATTACAGAAATAGTCGAAGCCCTGATCTACCTGGCAGCACATTTCCTAGTCCCCTCCCCCTTCCACATTCTAAATTCCATAATACGGAGGGAACTATCTCTACTCTCTCTCTGAGCGGAAGACAGCCTGAAAATGGGGTCTTGTTCTCAGTTCAGAGGCATACGTCCTCTTTGGGGCATCTCGCCTGGGGATCAGATGGGCCCTTGATTGTGGACTCCCTGAGAAGCTTTGGAGTGTTCCCATATGTGTTAATGCCTTCCAACTTCTTGGCACCATGGATAATGCTCTGAACTAAACAACGATAGGTGTTTCCAGATCCCACTCTCACAGGATGTGTCTCAGATTAGAAATCTACGTTTCAAATACTCACCTAGACCACTGTGATTCAATAGGTCAGAGGGCACCTTTGAGAAACAGGATTCAGCAGAAGATAATTCCGAGGGGACCCAACATCTAACCACCACCCGCCGTTTGCCGTACTGCTGACATTTCATTTAGTACTCACTACTCCCCAGTAAGGTAAATGCATCATTATGTATGGTCTAGGAATAATTTGAGACTCAGAGATGTTTAGCAACTTCCCCAGGGACACACAGCTTGTTACTAGCAGAGTCAGAATTGGAACCCCAAGTCTGTCTGACTCCAAAGCCTAAGACATTTATACTCCAGCACATCACCTACTGAGAGGGAAATGGTACCTGTTTTCAGGTAGTTAAATGTCCACAGAGGAAAGAAAGTCTGGTAATTGGCAGAAACAGAAACAATGGGTAATTGCCAAGAGTCAAACCTTGAGTCAACACAAGCTCTAATAGAATAGAGTAGCTTCCTGGGGGTGACCACTGGAGTGTTAAGTGGGTGCTGGACAGACACTCACTGGAGGCGCTGTGGATTTGTGGAGTAGGCTGCAATGTGACTGAGTCATTGTCAACCTCGTGATGTCTACAAGACAGTGTTTTGATGAGATGACTCCCTGAGTCGGGTCCTCATATTTGCTCTAGACTTATTACATTTGCAGCCATGAAGGGAGGGAGAGAGGGAGAGGGGAAAGAAGTCAGCTCATAGTTCAACATATGAGGATTGAGAGCTATGGATCTTGAATATTTTATCCCTCACTGAGTTAGGTCTTAATGATGAGAGAACTAGTCCCCTCCCCCTTCCACATTCTAAATCCCATAATACGGAGGGAACTATGTCTACTCTCTCATCACTCTACCTGGTGAGTGATCACCAGTGAGTGATCACCAGGTAGAGTGTTGACATGCCTCGTGTTGACTTGTTCTGTAAACCCAAGGCATTCCTGAGGAATCCTCCCTGAATCCAACCTCACATGACCAGATGAGTTTTCACACGTGCCCTTCCTGCTAATGCCAGCCCAAAGCCTGGGTCAACAAGGCAGTAATAGCCAAGAGAAAGGTAGATATGTTATATTCTCTTTGGTCTGAACTAGAAAGTAGTTGCAGAAAAATCGGTATAAGTTAAAATACATTTTGGGGATGCCTGGGTGGCTCAGTCAGTTAAGCATCTGCCTTCGGCCCAGGTCATGATCCCAGGGTCCCAGGATCAAGTCCCCGTATCGGGCTCCTTGCTCAGTGGGGAGCCTGCTTCTCCCTCTGCCTGCCGCTCCCCCTGCTTGTGCTCTCTCTCTCTGACAAATAAATAAAATCTTTAAAAAAACTTAAAAATACATTTTGATAGCTCCCACCACCTACCGGATGAAGAAAAAACTACTTAACAGGATTTTTATAATCTGACTCCACCCTAATGTAGCAGCTTCATCTTGTGCCACTTCCCATCCTCATCGGCTCCCCACACCATGCTGATGTGCCTTGCTTTAGTCACTCCGAGCTACTTGCCATTCTATAAACACATCATAACCATCATCCTGTCATGCCTGTATCCTTCCTGTGTTCTCCATCTAGAATGACCTTCTCCACATTTTTCAAGAACCAATTCAACTATCTCTACCCCCTCATTGGTAGTTAATTAATTTTTGCTTTTTACTCCTGCAGAACTTTTTTTTAATTTTTTATTGTTATGTTAATCACCATACATTACATCATTAGTTTTTGATGTAGTGTTCCATGATTCATTGTTTGTGCATAACACCCTGTGCTCCCTGCAGAATGTGCCCTCTTTAATACCCATAACCAGGCTAACCCATCCCCCCACCCCTCTCCCCTCTAGAACCCTCAGTTTGTTTTTCAGAGTCCATAGTCTCTCATGGTTGCAGAACTTTTATATATACATAGAAGTTACATATTTAGTCTCTGTCATCTCCACTCTCCCTTTCCTCAAGATTTTGTGGGAGCCCCAAGAAGAAAAGACTAATAACTCTGTTTTGGGGAGTCTGGAAAGTATTCACAGAGAAGAGGACATTTGATTGGGTTCTTAAAGAATGAATAGGAGTTTGTCAGGTACGCAAAGGACAATAGACATCCCACACAGTTCTGGAACAAGCTTTCAGTTTGCCTACTGGCAAACTCTTGCACTTATTTCTATCAGAACCTGATCTCTCTGCATAGCATGTTGCACGGGGGAATTGTCTGTCCCCTAGCAGACTGTAGGTCCTCTGGGGCAGAAAATGTGCCTTGTTTTCCTTGCAGTGTGCAGCACAGTGCCTGACAGATGCTGGGCATCATAAATGTATTTTTGTACTGGGGCATGAAGGCATGAAAGTACCAATCCAGGAACTACCTTTCTCCTTGTCTTAGTGCAAGTGGGGAAATGATCATATTCTTATTGTCTCTTATCACTGGTTTCAAGAACAGGCTCAGAGATGCTGAAAATACTCTATAAATTGTCTGCTGATTTGAACCAAATTGAAGAAGTTGCTCACCTGGCAGGCATTAAGAGGACCTTCTGTAACATTTGGACTTCATTTGAGTATAACAATTTCACCAATATAAGCTTTGCTTCCCCTTTAAACAACATGCCACAGTTCCAGAATGATGCCTTTGAAATAAATCCTGTTTGAGTAATGTTTCTCTTGGACTCATAAAATCTTTATGGCAATCTTCTTTCATCCCATAGACTATGAGAAGGAAGAGAAAACCAGAACCACTGAGCTAGAAGTGGGGAATGCAGTATTTTCTCATTATGTGGGTCACACATTTAATGTAAATAGTTTTTAAATGCAAATCCAATACTGACTCCACATTAGCTCAAAAATCCTAGCTCTGTCCAAAGTGCTGAATCTGTGAGTACTCTCTGATTAAAGAGTAGGTGGTATGGAAATGATGTATCCTTTCAGATAGAAGGTCTGAATGTATTAAAACATCTAGTAATAGCCATACTAGGGATAACAACACAAATGCCAGGAGAAATAAAACGCAGATGAACAGCTTAGTGCCCCCACTGCAGGAGAGAGGGAGGGAGGAAGAGAGGGAGGGAGAGAGAGAGAGAGGCAGTAAGTTGATAGAACTGAGCTCTTAACCCAGTTGTACAAAGGAGCACTGAATTAGGAGTCATGCATTAATTCAACACAATTTTTTTGAGTGACTACTATATACTAGGCATCGTACTAGAACATTAAATGAGATAAATCATAATCTTTGGTCTCCACAAGAGCACTGTCAGTGTTTACTCAACCACTGACCAGCTGTTGACCTTGGGCAACTTACTTAAACCTTTCAAGCCTCAGATTTCTCCTTTAAAAATTTGGGATAATAGAATCTCACAAGATTACTGTGCAAATTAAGGTGACACTTACAAGCACTTTGCACAGAATTTAACATGTTGTAAGCCCTCAGTGAACATTACATGTTAGGATCATGTGTGGTACATTATGGTAAGTTCTTTATACCCGTTATCTTTTATGCTCTCATTTACTCTGCACCAGTCACATGGGATAGGTTTTAACATCCCCATCCCCAGGTTAGGAAAGTGAGGCTCAAAAAAATGGAGTTCATTAACTTGCCCAAGTTCATATAGTTGTTCAGTCATGTGGACAGAATTCAGGGCCAGCACTTTTTACTCTAACACCAATGCTTATAATTATGGTGATGCTGTCTAGAGCAGGACTTGAAAACAGACTGACTGTCCCTGCCAACAACCAAAGAAATAAGGCCAACTCCACCCTGATCTGGGCTGGCACTTTTGGAAAGGCAAATTCTCAGGGACTGGGGTGGGCATGCAACCCAGATGCCTGTGTGAATTTTAAGTTAGGGATACTTGCAGGTTGACAAAGATGAGGAGGATAAATCTCAACCCACAGGAGAATAGGGCCAAACCCCAGCCATCCAGGAAGAGTCTCACCAGTCTCTCAGCCCACAAGGGAGCAAGAATAGGGACCAGAGACTAGAGCAGACCAGTCAGGCAGATGGGCCACACTTAGATAGGGTGAGTGGTTAACTACAAAGGCTGCAGGGGCTCCAGGGGCTAAATCCCACAGGGCACATTAGATTTTGGGGGGTGGGCAATAGACTATTTCCAGAATCCATTTGACAAGAGAGGAAAGGGCTCATGATGAATTGCCTGCTGGAGAATCACTGGCACCCAGACAGGGCAAGTTAAACCCAAATATGTGGTGAGGCAAAGGCTGGGCAAGAGCCGACATCACAGAAGCTACTGTCTCACATACTCCATCTGGAACCTCCAGCTGAGAGAAATCTGTGATTTTTCTGGTCTGTGTCCTGTGGAGCGGGGGTGATGGGGCTTCTGAATTAGTGACAACACATTGCTACCTCCATGGTAAGAATGTTCTTTTCCTTCTAGTCCAAGAGCTTATGATCTAGACCAATGGACTTCACATAAATATATATTCTCTTTGCTTTCCTCCCTGTGGGAAATAGAAGGCTACAAAGTACAATACCCTCCTTCCCCCCCTCCAAAAGCTGTTCAGTAAACAATGGGAGCTTTGGACTCCTTTGACTGAAACCGAAAAGGTCACATCTCAGTAGTGTCTTTGAGTCTTGCTTGTCGCATTTGTGACAATCCTGGGCTGTCGTGGGGCCTCCCTAAGGTGTCCTTCCAGCTCTGACCTTCCATAGGTGTCTTTTAAATGCAGAGAGTCATCAACCATCAGGCAGGTAAACGGATCAATGTGGGCTGTTCATCGAATTGTGTTCCCAGGGCCTTTGTGTCTGCTGCCTTCCGCCCCTGCTGCTGCTGTCAGATCAATGGGGGAACCAGAGGGCTGTGCGGTGTCATAACAGCGACTCCTTTACAGGGACTTTTCTCAGTACTTCTTCAAGCTGGGAGGTCAGGGGCACCTGGGCCCCACACCTCAGCAACTCTGGGGAGGTCTGTGTTGGCTTCTGATCAAGGTCAGCCGGGGGTCTCCAGAATGGATGGCGTGCTGGTCTCCCACTCACCTGTGGTGCTGTCTGGTCTGTCCCCGTGAGATGGGAAGTATAGGTGCCCCATCGCGTGTACGTGGAGCCCATGGGGCCTGGGCTCATCGTCCACTCAAGCTAAGGGAAGGCGTGTGGTGACAGAGAAAGCAAAGCAGGAGTTACAGGTTATTTCCAATGCTTCACCTTCCTACGGTAATGGCCCCAGGCAATGGCTCCTGGCTCAGGAATTCAGAGAGTTTATTGAACAAATGCACAGGACAGAGAGTGCCGAAGACCAGCTCTCTTGGTACTACGTGGTCTCCCCGCCTCTCCCTGCTTGTGAATCAGTACACACGGTCCTAAATGGCCCCTCCAAATGCTGGGTCGGACTGACTTCCAGTTTTCTGTATCTCTTGATTCAAGTTATCAAGAGAAAGAATCTGATTTGTTCAGCTGGCTAATCGAGTGTCAACTCCTCATCCAGTCAGATGACGCTAAGAAGAGGCACACTCAATGGGGACAAGCATAGCTGCCGGAGCCCACCCCTCCAGTGGTGGTGGCAGGGGGCCAGTGAGGAGCAGGGCAGCCCTGAGAAGAGAGAATGGGCTGGGCGCCAAACCCGCGACATGGCTTCCACACTAGTCTAACCTTTCCACCTTCTCTTGGGTCTCCCTCACAAAGAAATGAGGGAAACTTCTTCCTTTCATCCACCTCCTTGAGCTAACCAAAATAAAGCAAAGGGCCCGGCGCTCCATGAAGAGAACTCGAGAGTAATTTCAGGGTGTCCCCACCACTACAATATTGTCTGGCTGGATTTCACAGTCTGCAAAAGGAAGCTCTGTAAACACCGGGGATTACTGTGATGATTACGAATCCTTTAAGAAGCTAAATTTCCCGAGTTCTCAGAGTTGTAATGCTTTGGGATTTAGAGATATAATTAAGAACAGATGAGCCTCAAAAAGTTGATGACCATGATCGGGGGTTGCAGGGAAGAGCAGAGAGGATGTTGGTTGGGGTTCCAGGACTCCGTCTCCCCCACGTGGTGGGAGAACACAGCCTGGGGAAGGGGTGGGGGGTGGCAAGTGGCCTGAAGGACCTTAGTCACTGGAGTCAGGAGTCCCTGCCTCCTAGGCTCCTAGAACTGGGGACACAACCTATAAACCCTCTCAACAGCTTAGAACCAGACAGTGCAGAGTCAGCCTTGGACTGTGGTGCTGTGGCAATAGCTCTCTGCTGTTCTGGGACCCAGGGAGACTGCCACATCTGGCCCATTTCCTCTCGGGCAGACGTTTGCCTTCTGCCCACACATCAGTCTTGCCACAAGAGGGTTTCTGCTGCGGCATTGGGCCATTCCCCAAACCCCTTTAGTTTTTACTCATTTCCCAGTGTTTTTCTCCGACTTCGGTATTTACTAAAAGGCACGGAAATACCAAAAGGCAATGCTATGTTTTATTTAATTTATTCACCATAGTGACCTGAATCTATAGCATCTGTAACGCCAAGACTGTTTTGACCTTCTAAAAGGAAATGAGTGCGCTCAGAACCAGAGCCAAACGAGCAGCTTAGACCCATCCACAAGCAGAAGTCTGGGGCCTGGGGAGTTTCAGGGCATTAAATTGCCATCGAAATTTGAGTAGAGTCTTGAAACCCTTGCAGTCAGGGAAGGGAAGGAGCAGTGATCCAACAGTTACCATTAGAGGAGGTAGAATGAAGATGTTAGAGCCTGAATCCCTGAGTTCTGCTACTTGATTGCTGTGTGACTTCAGATACATTGCCTAACCTCTATGTATTCCATCTTCCCACCTGCAAACCATAGATTATCATAGACTCTGCCTCATGGGGTTGCTGTATTAAAGGAGTCAACACATGCGAAGTACTTAGAACAGTGTCTGGCATGCAGGGCATGTGCAGAATGGTCTCTCTTGTTCCCAGGGGTTGATTAGGTACTCTATCCTGTGTCTTTTCATTTTAGACTCACAATAGCCCTGGAAAATAGATTTTTTATATTCCCAACGGACAGAAGAAATGGAATCTCTGATGTTCAATAAATTGCCTAGGACCACCTAGCTAGTAAGTGGCAGGGATAGATCTCTAGACTCTAAGTCCTATGTTCTTTCTATTCCCTGTTCTTTCTATTCTAAGGCCAGTCCCCTTCATGGTCTGCCTTGCTTCCCATAATTATACCCCCAGTTTCCTCTGCTGAGTCCCTTGGCACCCACCCGAGTTAGTTTCAGTGAACTTGGAATCACAGCACCACTTCCTGGCTATGACAACTCTCTGAGCCTCAGTTTCTCTATTTCTCTAGGCTGGGCACAATCACGGGGCCTGCTGAGGAGGAGAGCAACAGCCCCTGAGGGCCAGAAACTGGCCTGGCATCATGAGGCCACCCTTTTGCTGGGAGCTGGCCTGGCACCCACACCAGACCTGGGTGTTTCCTGTTGAACATAAATGTCAGCATCAGACAGGCCACTTCATGACCGTGATGGACTGAGATAAAAACAAGCCTACTTCATAACCACATCTGAACTCCAGCATAAGCAAGAACATTACCAAACACAAAACCAGCCAACCGTTCCCCTCCCTTCGCATCTTGGCTAATGTGCGAGACACCTATGTCTCTACCAGTTGCAGCTTTAGTCTTGCTTCATTCCTCCTGCCTTTTAGATAAAATTTATGAAGTACCCAATCATAGAAATACACCTACTTCTTGACAGCATCTAATCTAGAGCAAAGCTCCACTTCCTTGAGCCCTCCCCAAATCACCTAACACAAGCCCGAATCCTGCAGTAGGTTCTTTCCAACACCCTCTTACTGACACCCCCATGGTTCCTGGTGGTAGGCATTCTCGCTCATTGCCACAAGCCAATAATGCCAACTGTGTCCAGCTACCGGGGGATTCCTGGTGGTCTTTGGCGGTGGTTTGGTGGGTGGGGTGAGCGTCCACACTGCTTCTGGAATTGAATACGATGATTCCTGAAGAGCACTTAGAAACAGGGCCTGGGACATTGGAAGTGCCATGCTAGTTAGTAGCAACATATTTATTGCCAAAAATGTCCCTCTTTGGACAAAGCTGGTGCACACCCATTAACCCTCACTAACCAGCCCCCTTCTTCTCAAAAGTCCGTGCAGACCCCCTCTCAGGTTTGCCTCGGGCCCTGAGCATGCCTCATTTGCACTTGACAGACCTTCCCTCCACGCTGCAGACCCCGAGCCTGTGAATACTTTTACCACCCATGACTTTCGGGGCTGCCATCTGCCCACTGGGGCCCCTCTTGGAGAACATCCTGTCAGAGTGTTCCAGCAGCAAGATAGGCAGAGGGGAGGCCAGGCGGGCAGTGGGATGGTGATCAGGTGTCCACAGTCCTCTTTCTGCTTCCTGGAGGAGGAGACCCTGTGCAGATAGAAGCGCCCCTTCCCACTCTCCAGAGGAGTCTGGCCAGAGTCTTCCACATGAGTGTACTCACAGCTGCAAGGGGCAGCCCCAGGGCTGGCAGACCTCTTCCATGCCCACTGCTGCTAATTGCAGATAATGCATTAAAAATACAGAGCCACATCTGTTCATTTCAGCATGAGCATCGAGGAATTTACATGGTTTATAATGACAGGGTGTGAGGGGTAGGAAAATCCTTCTTTTGCCTGTGGGCCAGAGGCACAGCTATGAGCAGAGAGCTGGAGGTGTGGTTTCCTCTGGATGCTAGCCAAGCCCTTTCTTGGAGGTGCCAAGAGATAGATCCAGGTATTTCTCTGGAAATACAAAATTATGTAACCAGTCGAGCACAGAGTATGTGTCGTGGTGCTCAGGAGGCCTTCTGGGCCAACTCTGCCATTCGCAGAGTTCCTGTGAGGAGGGGACCAGCCACTGCCAGCCACAGAACAAGAGGAGCAATGTGCCTGTTGTGATTCCAGCAAGCAGGCACTGAGCACCTAGCCTAGAGTCTCAGTTCCCTACCTGCAAAAAGGGGCGTTTAAAGTTCTTGCCTCATTGGGTTTATTATCAAATAAAATAATTACATCTGAATCACCTCAAACAGCACCAGCATGGCATAGGAATGCAATAAATGTTTACTATTATTATTTGAATGCATGTCAGGCATTGTGTTAGATTTTAAGAGTACCAGGATGAATAAGGCAAGGTCCCTGCCCTTCTCCCCAAGTCCAGGAGATAAACAGGTGATACAATGTGATCTGCAGTGGGATGATGATATGTTATGGGAGCACAGGAGGAGAGTGGGAGAGTCAGAGAGGGCTTCCTGGAGGAAGGGACACCTGACCTGACTTTCATCTGAAGGTGGAAGTTTACCAGACCTAACAGGTAAGGAAGAGGATCGCAGCCTGGAGTAGCATGTGCAAAGGCCCTGAGGAGAGCGTGAGGGTATCATGTTTCTGGGGGAAATAACATGTAGTAGGGCCTTCGGGTGGGACTATTAAGCATCTGTTGCTGCCTAACAAATTGTCCCAGAACTTATGGCTTTAAGCAGTGTTTATTGTCTCACATGTTCTGTGTGTTAGGAATCTGGGTGTGGCTTAGCTGGGCCCTCTGGCTCAGGGCTTCTCACAAAGCTGCAGTCAAGGTATCTAACAGTGATGTAGTCCTCTCAAAGCTCAGCTGGGGAAGAAGGTGTGTTCCAAGCTTGTTCACGTGAATGAAGAATTGAGGGCCCCAGTGCTGTTGACCAGAGACCACCTCAGTGCCTTTCCACAGGGCGGCTTTCAACTTGGCTGCTTACTTCATCAGAGCAAGTCCTAGAGAGAGAGAATGAGACCAGGAGGCCCAGTCCTTTATAACCTCATCTCAAAAGTGACAGCCTACCACTTTTGCGGCATCCTACTTGCTAAAAGCAAGTCACTGCATTCAGCCCGCACAAAGGGGAGGGGACTGACCAAGGGCACAAATGCCAAGAGATGAAGATCATGTGGTCATTTCTGAAGCTGCCTTATTACAGGCTGCCCACTGGTCCCCAATGACTCCTTCCCCTTCCACATGCAAAATGCAATTACCCCTTCTTCAGGTCCCCCAAAGTCTCATCCCATGATAGAATCGGCTGAGAGTCCAGAATATCATCATCTAAATCAGGTTCAGGTATGGACGAGGCTCCTGGATGTAGTTTCTCAAAGGCAGGTTCTAGAATACTGTTACTCTAGAACTGTGGTTCTGCAAAACCAGAGAGAGAAACATTGCCTGCCCCCACATACCCAACACACAGTGGTACAACAGGCATAGGGTAATGGTTAAAGACATTCCTACTCAAAAAGGGGGGGGGGAATGTGAGGCATAAAGGAGTCCCTGGTCCATAAGATTTCTAAAATCCATCCAGGAAAATATTGGAACCTTCTTGATTACTTTCAAAATCTGGGAATCTTTCCCCGTGACTTGCAGCTCCACATTCTGAGCTCTTGGTTCCTCCCTCTGAGTCATTCTTCTCTTTCTCGTGGAAGAAAGCGTATGCTGAGAATTTTGGGAGTCCAGTGACCTCTTTTTATTTCATGCTATCTCTGTCCCTTTCAGTGCAAGGTAACAGTGTTTCTTCTAATGAGTTTTCTTAAGACCTTCGGGGGTCTTCTCTAAATCTGAGACTCACTCTTTATACAGAAGCCACGCCCACAGATTTCTTTGGACTAAACCCCTCTCTACCTTGAGTTTCTACTAAGATGAACAAGGAACAATGCTCTGATGCTTCCCAGAGGCCATGCTGTTTGATCTAGAGGGTCTGTGAGACCCACCCTAATTTCTTTAAAGGGCCTTGTGTGACTGACACTATGCTCTTTTTTAAAATTTAAATTCAACTAGTCAACATAGAGTACCTCATTATTTTCAGGTGTAGGGTTCAGTGATTCATCAGTTGCGTGTGACACCCAGTGCTCATCACATCACATGCCCTCCTTAATGTCTATCACCCAGTTACCCATCTCCCTACCTATCTCCCCTCCAGCAACCTTCAGTTTGTTTCCTAGAGTTAAGAAACTCTCATGGTTTGTCTCCCTCTCTGATTTCTTCCCGTTCAGTTTTCCCTCCTCTCCCCTATGATCTTCTGTGCTGTGTCTTATATTCCACATATGAGTGAAACCATATGATTACTATCTTTCTCTGACTGACTTATTTTGCTCAGCATGACACCCTCTAGTTCCATCCACATCATTGTAAATGGTAAGATTTCATTTTTGATGGCTGCATAATATTTCATCGTATATACATACCACATCTTCTTTGTCCATTCATCTTTCAAAGGACATCTGGGCTCTTTCCATAGTTTGGCTATTGGCATTGCTGTTACAAACATTGGGGTGTAAGGAGCCCCTTCGGATCACAATGTTTGTATCCTTTGGGTAAATACATAGTAGTGCAATTGCTGGGTCAACACTGTGCTCTTTTGATCTTCCTGAGGTCTCACCCAACAGCTGGACAGTCATACCTTCACTTTATCTCCAGACCACCTTTCCCTGACAGTGCTGGAAAGCTGATTCTTGATTTTAGTATCCTTTGCTGTCTTGGGAGTCTGAGAATTTTCCAAAACTATCAGGTCCTGGCTCCTTTTTAACAATTGTTCCCTCAATTTATCTCCCTTCTCACCTAAGTGGCAAGAAGAAACCGGACAGTGCCTTCGACACTTTGCTTGGACATCTCCTTAGCTGGATTGCTGAGTAGGCCTGTGTTCTGCTTTCCACATAACTGCAGACAACAGTGTTGCTAAGCTTTCTGCCACTATGTCACAAGGATCCCCTCCCTCCAGTTTCCAATAACATGTCCTCACTGCCTTTTGAGCCTTCGCTGGCAGCATCCTTAAAGTTCAGATTTTTCTAACAAGCTTCACAAAATATTCCCAGCCTCACCCCATGGTCTGATTCCAAAGCCATCTTACATTTCAGATATTTTTCATGATACTATGCCTCTTTTGATACCACAATCGGTATTGTTCTCTCTTTTGGTTTATAACAAATTACCCCAAACCATAGTAGCATGAAACAACAGCATCTATTAGCCTAGTTTCTGTGAGTCAGGAATCAGGTGTGGCTGATCTGGGTCTGTCACAAGGCTGCAGTAAATGTGTGCACAGGAGCCCAGGAGTGGTCCACCTCTGAGCTACTTCATGGCTCCGGGCAGAATTCTTTCCTGGCAGGTAAGCCACCCTCAGTTCCTAGCCACATGAGCCTCTTCACAGGACAACTTTCAACATGTCCTTTTGCTTTGAGAGACAGATGGAGATCATCTTTTGTAGCCTAGTCACTGGTAAAGAAGTGATGTCTTATCACTTTTGCCCTATTCCATTCATTAAAAGTCACTAGGTCCAGCCCACACTTAAAGGGAGGAATTAGACAAGGGTGTGAATTAAAAGAGGTGGGGATCACTGGAAGCTACTTGAGAAGCTGAGTGTGGGCGACAGTGCAGAGGCAGCAGTGGCTTGATTATGCTGCGTCAGACTCCCACAGGTGATGGGCAACCACTGAAATATTTTACTGTTGAGTGGGAAGTCTTACAACATCAATCAGGCAGCCAGAGCTGAGAAAGGATTGGAAAGGGAGCAATGGGTAGTGAGAGCTAGTGCATGGAAACTTACAAGGGGATGGCCACATGAGAATGTTCATGGCATCCCACCAACCCAGAGGTCAAGGCCAGCCTGGAGCATCACAT